CATACACAAACAGACACTTGTATATTAAGGACACAGCTAGTATTCCCAGCCGGCAGTCTCTCATCCAAGTACTGACTAGGCCAGCACTACTTAGGTTCTGAAATCTGACAGGCAGATCTGGCAACATCAGGATTTGGCAAACAGGTGTGTCTATGGTTTGAAGAAATTTTAATTGTACAAGCACTTTAGTTGAAAATGTCCACAACCTTTGCCCAGTGTGCAGTGCTCTGGGCCAGGGGCCAATCCCAAAGAGACATTCACTTTGTCTCCTGTAGCTTCATTAATCACGACTAATACTATGCAATTACCATTAGATCTGCAGCTATAGTCTACATTACACATTTCATTATGCAAATAGCTGTACATCTCAACTAGGGGGGAAAATAATCTATATGAAAATGAGAATATTGCGCAAACATTCCTCTGAAATGAAAATGTGCTTGAATCAGCTGTAATAGTTGCAGATATCAAGAGTTAACTATAAAACATCCCTTGCGTGGAGTACCTTACAAGATGACTTTAATTTTCCCATCTGCTCCCCCTGTAGCGAATAAGAAGTATCAGCTCTGCGGAAAAGCGGTGATTGGGAGGCTCTCAGACAGCACTTATGAAAGACTTACAAATTCGAGTTGTTTAAGTATTCCTCCGGCTGGTGGGTAAGTACATAAGAGTGTTGGACGGTGATCGCAAGTAGTAAAAGTCAAAGTTATGCCACTCTGACGAGCTGTCACAGTCACTTCAGATCCGTCCCCATCATTCTACAATGTGTATCTTTCATTCTCCAAACACTGAGAGCGGTGGGGCGTCCATTAGCGATAAAAGTGCCACTTAAGGACAGATATTCATTCTTCAGACTGGAGATTAGTTCAAACATTTCTTACAAAATATTTAAAAAAGATTAGAGAAATTGGCAAGGCAAGTTAATGTGTATAGCACAGTTCAGACACGGGGCAACTCAAAGTGCGTAACTAAACAAGATAGAAACAAGACATTAAAATCATATATAATCACAGCACATAAAAAGATTGTTTGTTTTGTCTGTTGTTTTTTTTTTTTTCAATTTTCCTTGGTGTATTTGTTTGTCCTTTTTCTTAAGCTTTGATAAGCTTTGGACAATTAGACCACGGTGGAAATGCTGAATGACGCATGCAGAGTTTGATAGAAATGATGAGCTTGCAACCCCCTGGGCCTAGAACCCTGGTGACGAAGAAGCTGAGCCAAAGACTTGACATGATACTCCACTGAAGAGGAGGTGATGGGGAGGAGGTGGGTTGCTGCTCGAGCAGCAGACTCTGATTAAATGCAGCCATCATGAGCACTGGTGTGTTACTAAGCAGCTGAGGCTGATTGCTGTTGAGCTCAGTGCAAGTGTGTAGACGTGCCTTTGGTCTTCCAGTCTGAATTTGCGTTTAAGCTTCATATTTCCTGTTTGTCCGTCTATATTTGTATTGTCATTAAATGCAAAAAATAAATAAATAAAGTGAAAATCCTTCATTTGACCTCACTCCCTTCTCTCTGTGGAGTGGGAGACAAATGCCCACAACAATTGTAAAGCACTCTGTGACTCTGGTCAGTGAAAGGCGTTATATATAAGTAAAGAGTACTTACTTACTTAGTTGTATGCACAGCTTAGCAAAATTGTTTTAACCTGAAATTGAACATTGTCAGAACAGAAGCCTGTCCCACCTTTTCAAGAGGACTGTTCTCGCTGAATAAATCTGAAATTAAACAGAACTTTGAATAACAGTTTTACAAACAAACAGGAGTACAAACACTTCAAAGAAAATATCTGTTATTTTTTTGCTAGAAAATTTGATGAGAGCTAAAATATCTAAAAAGGACGAATTGGGGATTTACACTTTTGGAGGAGGTGGATTTTACGCGACTGAACACAACAGCCGGGGATGCTTATGTTTCGGAATGTTTAAAAAAAATTGAATCTTGTCATAATCTGGCTCAACATTCTGGTAAAGTTACAATCAAAGTTATTATGTGTAGCTTTTGAAATAACACCAAAATTGTATCGGGATTAATCATTCATTATCATTTCATTATCAATTATAATTGTGTTTGAATGACGTTTTGAAACAGGTTTCTTGTACTGCTTAAAAATGCTTAGAATATAACAATGATGAATATTGAATAATGGTTTACAGCAGCATTCATGGTTTAAAACTTAAAACTTTCTAACAAGCAATATGCAATAAAGCTCCCTCTCTCAACAGTTTGGTTCTTTTACACTTTAGATACCCAGACACAAACATGAAAAAGAGGGGTCCATCGTCGTTCAGCTCTCAGCCCAAACAGTGACTCATTTTTCTCTTTTTGTTTGAACATATGTGAACGTATGTTGAAGTCATAATTCAATATTAGATTTAGATTTTTTTTCTCCCACCACAAAAGATGATGTAGAAGATGATTGTTGTTGGACTCAATTATCTCCACAGATGGTGTCTTGTTTTCTGGTTTGACCTGATCATAACTTTACTCTAGGGCTGTCGGGCCAATTCCATTTCACCTGACTTTGCACTTAATGCTCCAGTATGCAATAATTGAATCACACAAGCGCCGATAAATCACCAGTTCAAAGAAAAAAAAAAATTCCACATTTTGATGTGTAAGCTGATTCTCCAAAAATTAACTTGCAGCAAAAGTTCAAAGACAGGGCTAGACTTGCAGGTATCATTTAGTTATCGTTATCACAGCAATTTCTGAAAGAGAATTCGATTTTGTTTCTGTTTGGGATAACTCTGTTACCAAAACAACTTAAAGCTGGGATACCTAACTTTCCCCCACACATGTGCATTTAGTTTGTCCCAACAGAAATAGTGTTGTTAAAGTGATCTTCTGTGGACTATTAGTAAACATTGTATCTTTTGCAGCCTTGAAAAAATCTCCCTGTGAGTTATTATTTGACATTTTGGGCTTAGAGCTGATTGGTTGAGCAAGACTGATCCTCTTTTTTTTCACTTTGTTCTGAAAAAGCTGATCCAAAGATGTAAAACTATAGTGATTGAAACAAATTGTCTTGTGAGGTACTAGTTGGATGAATTATACCGCATTGTTCTGGTTTCAAAGTGATTTATAATATATTAAACATATCTGGGTGTTAGGGAAGTTTAATTTGATCGGTCATATACTATTCAACAAAGAATCATAAAGTGATGCATTCCCATTCACTCCACGTGAGGCTCCAGTCTGTGCCGACCTCCACCATCACTCACTCACCTCTGCATTCACACTGTTACATGTTTTTGTCTGGTCCTATGGGAAAGCGCACTCCACTCCTTGTTTCCAAACGACCTTATCTCTCCGCATTCCCCCACGTTCCTATTTCAAATCATTTCTTTGTTCCATCTCGCCGTTGAAGACCTCCGATCCAGTCCCAAAGCCAAAGGCAGACCTTTGCAGACGCCGCTGATCACCTTCGCTCCATTAAACTGCAGTGAAAGGATCATGCCAGAGAGAATAAAGGGGACATTCACATTTCATTACTCTGGGATGGAAATAAAAGCACTTCTCTTCTGTGGGTCAGGGATGTGCTGCAGATATGTGAATGTGAATTATTCAGGATGGTCTAAAAGTTCTAGCGAGGGGGACTGAAATATATTTTTATGTGTTTCAATTCACTCGTGGCAGGACGGTAGCACCAGGTTTCTTAGAGAATATGGACATAGCTTAAATTTACAATGATTCATTTAAGTTTAAATGTTGTAACACGTTTTTCTACATCACCATGCCTCTTTAAAATAGTATAATTGCATGTTTTGAATGGAATACAACATGCTAATGGCTTTTCCAGTCACTGCATCCAGCTTTTACCAAAAATCATGCATTAAATATGATGTCGGGCAGAGCGGAACAGGTCGTGGTGCATCACCTTAAACCGTCCTGTCAGAAACACAAACTCACCTGGTTCCTCCTCCTACATTAGCATTAGCGCTGCAGCGGCGCTTCTTCCATCAGGCTGTTCGTTGGTGACACCAGCGACAGAGAAAACACATTATTCCTGTTATGTTTATGTTGGAGGTGGCGCCTGTCTGTGGAGATTAGAGCGTAGACTAATCCAGGTGGCAGAAAGGGAGGGGGACTATTTGGGTGTTATCTTAAAATTATAGAAACATGCAGCTTTATAAAAACAAAAACGGCTTTAGTTTTCTCAGCCATTTCAATTTTCATCTGATATGAATATATAAACCCTTTGCCGAAAAATTGCTACAAGCGTTCCAGAATACAAAACACTTTATAGACAACAACTGGTCACTATAAAATTGTATTTTGGACCAGAACCTGCATGTTTGGACGAGTTCGCCCACTTATATTTATTAAAAATTTATTCAGGACTTGACGAGACTTGACTTTTCACAAAACACAGTTAATTTATATGAAGTATTGTTTGAGTGAAATGACAACTAAACCAACTCTTATTATTACTATTATTTTTCTTTCCACCTCATGTCAAATTTAAAAGAAAATGTAGATTAACAATGTATCAAAAATCCTATTTATTTATTCCTTTGTCATTACTTAAGATGATTTCAGTCACTCACTATATAAATTCATATTTTGGACCTACATGCAAAAAATAAAGCAGTCAATTTCTTAACTTGCAAATGTATTCAATCCCCATTTGGACTGAAACAAATGACTTTAAGATATATATAGTGCAAAGGGTCCCAGAGTCTTATGGATCCAAAGACAAACCCAGAGGCTACAACCACCTGTGTCTGAACCACAGATTAATAATATGATTTTTTTCCCTGTAATTTTTGTTGCCTGTAAACAATCACATGGCTTTGTCTCTTTAAGTCCGACGCTGTTAAGCATGACTTCCTTAATTGCATTGTTTGATGACGTCAAGCGGAGCGTGGAAAATCTGGGGCTAAAATTAAACGTAATCAGCGCCATTCTGCTGGTGGTAAACAGGCATCAGGGGAGCGTCATGCGAGAGAGTGGCTTTCCAATGAAGCAGAAACAAGACGCGGAGACAAGATGTGCCCATGGAACTCCTCAACAGAGCGCACTGCTCCTGGAAACTGCAGGGAAACGACTTGAGGCGCAGCGTGGCTCAGATGTAAGGGACCAGATATGTTCTTAATGAGTCATCTGCAAATGATGGAAGTCTCTGGCTAATAAACCAATCTGTACCACTAGAATATGACTATCAGGATATTTAAAAAATGAAACCAAAAACTTAGCATAGTTTATGTAATCCTAGATGGTAAATTAATTAAAGCTGGGGTATCTAACTTTCAAACACCGATGAAAAAATATGTAATCTAACTAGTTCCTAGCACTATTTTTTACATGCATGCATTTTTGGGTCTCTGTCACATATAGGGATCAGCTTTTTCAGATTGAAAAGTAAAAGTCAACCAATCACCTCTCAGTCAAAAGCGTCAAATAGTCAGCAATACTCTTAAGAATATTGTACCCCAGCTGTGAGGATTTGGGGTGAATCAATCAAGATGCAAAACAACCTGGGATACATAAAAAGTAAACCCTAGCTTTAATGTAAAAAATACTGCTTCCAATAACTTTGCTTCTATCCTCCATTTTCATTATTTCACTTCTGCCCGTTGGAGCGCTCTCCAGGGTGCTGAAATTACATTAACAACGTACAACTTTTTTTTCTTTCGAATAGTCGCACATTTTTTGTTGTTGTATTTTGCTCTTTTGGAGGGTAATAATGTTCAATATGATATTTGTGGAAATGAATCCCACTCCGGAAGATACAGAAATGTGCGCAAAGTGTGACTATACCTGTCAGTAATACCTGCTGCCTCACGTTTTTCTACAAAATCACTGCCCTCCTCTTGAGAGTCAGCTTTCGGGTGGTTTCTCTCTGTGCGCGTAATAGTCTATGTGGATACGCTAGAAGGGGAGCCGTGCTGCGCGCTCTGAGGGGAGGGACGAACCAAGTCAAGTTGGGATCAGATGAGAAACGAAGGCACCGACAGAACAACACCAATAGTGCGCCAAGCAGAATCCGACCTGCAAAACGCGCGCTATATTCGTGCATTTTGTGTTAAAATTCCTCAGGACGTTTCCACAGTTGGCGGGAAGAGTCGCGCAAGGGACCGGAACAGGAGCCCCCGAAGCGTAACAGGGGAGACATGCAGCCGGCGCACAAATGGACCTCTGTGCTTCTGCTTGTGGCGCTTACAACGCAAGGTAAACAAGCCTATACATTGTTTAAAAGTTATTAATTTCCAACACTTTCTTTTACTCTCTCCTCTGTCATGGTTCTCTGCTTGCTTTGCGCACACTTTGCCTCGTAATGCCTCTACTTTCTTGTGCGTAAAACTGCTTTGGTCGACTCCATAAGAATCTTGTAACGTTGCAGAAAGCCAAAAGTTGTGCATCCCTCCTTCTGCTCACTCTCATGAAAATAGGCCACCGTGGTAGAGTGCTGAAAAGGCAAACATGTTGATGAATACTAATGCAGCTCTTGACGCGAGGCAATCAGGAAACCAGACGAGATAAGAATTTGTTTACAGGACCCAGTTCTGTTTTGGGAAGTCTGGGAGTGAAAAGTTATAGCTCTTGGTCTGAAGTAATGCAGAAACAGTTTTATTCAACGTGATTTTTCACTAGATGATATGGGAGTTTGATAGCTAAAGGTGTTTCTTGGTGTTTTATTGGCAAAAGTTGTCATTGAATGCACTTACGGGAGGGGAGATGGCTGCAAGTGGCTAAGGAGTAACATTTATTAACATGTATGGGCATTGGTCTTCTGCCCCCTATGGACCAATGGCTACTATGTCTTTGTTATTATTGCATTTTCTGTGTTAGAACTGTTTGATTCTCTGATCTGTTGTTGAGGAATCGACAACGTTGCAAAGACCTCCCAAACGATCTGATTTAGGGCTATACAAAAAAAAACATGGACATTAAATATAGAATAACCGTATGGTACAATATGACAAAAGCAGACTGCTCCCCACTGGTTCCCTAAGAGAAAGTCTCGGGGGAGTGAGTGGGGCTTGAAGGAGCAGCTGATTTGACAGTAGTGCGCCCTCATCTCTGACCACAGCGGAGGCGGAGGGATCTTGACCCGAAGGCACTCGGTGAAATAGATGCCTGTGCGCGCTGTAATTATGCTGCGGCATTTCAAAGCGTCAACGTAAACACTTGCTCCGAGGGCATAAATAGCCGCCGTCTGATTTACGCGCGGTGGCAGACGGTGCTGCCTTATCAGGCACCACACACTCTCTGCTCCACGCGTGACCCTCATGGCTCTGAGGTGTTTCCCAGTTTCTGAGTGGATTTGTGGAAAGTTATTTCACACAGGTTTGTTGAGAAAGACATTTTCAAAAAGACCTTATCACAAACGCCAGAGGAGGCGTCCTTGGAAGTGAATTCGAATTCACTATGTAAACTTCACTTTTCTTCTGATAAATTAGAACTCAGTATGAAGAATTTTAAGTGACTTTGAAAAGTTATACCAAAAAGTTATATCAAAGCTGCCATTAGACATTTTCAACCTTTTGTCACATATACCATTGTGATGTATAGGAACTTTTATGTTTCTCCGGCAAAGTTCCTCTACATCAAAATGGTATCCCATGCCCCATTACTTTTCTATCTGACCGTTATTACTTTTTGATCTAACTCTTAAAACAATGACAGCTTCAGAGATTATTCATAGAAGTGTGCAGTGAAGGGTTCAGATACATCGTACCACTTCAAGGACATGTATGAACATTAAAGGACATTTATCTTCTGCCCCTGTCTTCTGTGCTTGTTGTTATTGTATTCCAACGGTTTGATTCTCTTATCTGTTGATGATTTGGGGATAAACAAAAACTCAACTGAATTGAAGTAACTGTTTTAAAAATTATTATTCAATATGTTTTACATAATTAGATTTGATGGGTTTCGAATATTTTAAAGGGAATGTCAGCAATATATTACAGTACCTGTTTCGTACCCACCGCCTCAAGAAGAAGGCTAAATATCAGGGTTACACAATTAAAAATGATCAGTTATATTGTGTGTTACACGATATATACTATATTGTTGATGGGTCATTAACTTGTAAGCATTTGTCAATTACATTTAGCAATTACATTATAATACGACAAGTCTAGATTAGTCTCATGGTTAAAGTAAATGTAAAGTAAAGTTACTTTTTGAAGAGAGAGATTTTTTGTCAAAAGCAAGCACCGTTAGACCCATCCACTTTCACCACACTGCACTGATTGGACAGAATGCATGTAAATCCTTGGTACACAGACGAGGCCCTTTGCCATTGGTCTAACTACTCTCCTCCAGCAAATCTTATTGGTAATGGTTATGTCAAAAGGATATGATTTTACTTAAAACGAAATACAATTGAAGTTACTGCCATCACCTTTAAGTGTAATTACATGGATTTGGGGGTGAAGCTGAGGAGTGAGGAGTGAGTGGAGAACACGGTCGTTGATAGGAAGATCTTGCACCCCTCTCTGACCTCCCTGGCACCGTCTAAGCTTTTTAAACCTCCCTAAAGCTTCAGTAAAATGTACATATACTGTGATTGGTATATTCCACATGTATTTTTTTCAAGGGGGATATATGCAACTCTTTCAGCAAATCTACAGCAAGTCATTTAGTATTGTCTTTGCTTTACCTCTGCTTGCTGACTATATCTCGGCTGCTATAATAAAAATAACAATGGCCAAGGCTTGTCACATCCCCACACCCCCCTCTCGCACACGGCCTGCGTATAGAAGTCGGCTGCAGGTCTTAAAAGTGGGGCAGAGCAGATGTGTTATTTCTGCCTAGGTACATCTGCACGGCTGCTGTCCTTTGTATTCCAAACTGGATCGTCTAATGTGAAGGAATGCATGAGCGCTGATCCGGTCACTGCTTATGTCACACCAGCATTTATAGAGCAGAAACACAGAGTAGACTCCAGGGGGCGTGGCCACATTCAAAGCGTTAGTGGCTCATTTTTACAGGCCTCACTCAATGGCTGTCACCGTCTGTGCTTTTGCGAGCTCTCGAAGTGCTCTTTTGTTTTATGGCGTTTATGAGGGGCGCAAGTTCTAGGTTTACCGTGGAGTGCTAACGTGGGCTGTTTCGATTGCCTTGATAGGACGAAATTAAGATTATTTACACCTATTTTCAGGACACAGTGTGGAGTAGGACAGCAATCTCTAAATTTCCACAGATAGGACAATAAAATGCCAAAATATCAGGACTTGACAAGGCTGCAGGCAATTGAAAAAAAATTCCACCAAATTTCCACTACATTTGTGCAATCTGACCTGCATATTTTCTATATAACTGCTAAAATATTATTATCTGAAGCACTGTACGCCTTTGTTTTGGCCCACATTCCTCCTACAGTATCTTAAGCATGAGTCTTTAATATCTCTTCGTTCTTATGCACATTGTTACAAATCATACAAAAAGCTCTTCTTTTGTTCGATCTGGAGAATAAACCGTGATACAGGTGCAATCGCCGCTGCGTTGTTTTCATTTCTCGACACTTTCTTGTACTTTTTAGCTTGTTTTATTGATGTACTTGTCTGGAGCAAACTGGGTATTTTTACATATGTATTTCATTGTGGTTTTACTGCAAATGGCAAAAATACAGAATCTGAATCTGATTCCCTCTCTCTGACTTGAATTGAGGCACTAGCATGAAGTAATAAAACAGACATACACATACAGAGAAGTACAGTAGGGCTGCAACTATCAATTATTTTGATAACCGATTGATCTATTATTCATTCTTTCGATTAACCGATTAGTCGATTAGAATTTTATAATTTGGAGTACAGAAAAGATGAAGCTACTGGAAGACATTTTAACAGTATTCAGATTTACCATTTACTATTATTTACAATTGACAGCAAAACCACATTGGAATACACAGGCAAAAGTACCCCAGTGTGCACCAGACAAGTATATAGATAAAACATGTTCAATAACAAGAGTAAGATCATTAAAGTGCTTTATTCAAACTGTTAACATCTTGGGGAAAAAAACATCTCTCTATATTTTCATTATTTACAGTAAAAACAAGACATTTATATAATTCTGGGTTATTTTAGATGAAATTCCTATATGGTTCGAGCCCTAAAATCAGCACCCATATTGTTACCCTCACAAATGTAGGAGTCTGTACATACAGCAGTCCACGACTATTTGATCACTAAAATAGTTAAATGTTAGTTAATTCATTATTGAAAAGAAATTCTATAGTTTGAAATAATTTGATGAATAGTTGTAGCAAACTACTTAGCTCACTCAATACTTTAACGTTAATACAGTAATTATGACATGTTGGCAGCCAGACACCACTCATAGATGAAATGCTTTTAGATAAAAAATCATTTGTTTTGAATATTTTTTAATTTTTTGTACTGTTAAGTTTGCTTGGATCTGCATAGACCTGACACGTACCAGTCACCCCACCCCCCCTATTTGTTTCCATGGAAATATGTTTTTTTTGTGACTACTTTTCAATACAATCTCATAGGGGTGTGATACTTTCTCCCGCGATTCGATTATCGATATGCATTTGCCAAGTATCGATATCGATTTAGAAAAAAATAAAAAATAAAAATGATTTTTTTTTTTTTTTTCACAATTCATTTTTTTGAATTGGTATCAATACATAATATATGGCTACATTACGCATCTACATTCTATTTATCATGAAATAAAGAGTAATTTTTCTTTTATTTATGCCATAAATTGGCATATTGTATATTTCTGACCAATATATCAATAATCATTGTATCGTGATAAAATCGTTATCGTGATATCGTTATCGTGATATTATCGTTATCGTGAGCTTTGTATCGTGTATCGTATCGTATCGTGAGGTACCCTTAGGTTCCCACCCCTACAATCTCAGTATAAAATATTTTCACATATACTAATTTAAACAGTGATTTGTTATGCATGATGTGTCAGTGGAAAATCTGCAAAGAAAACATGTGTGTGGCTTATTAGAATATAAGATTCCAAAATGACCAAAGACTTTATCACACGGCAAATTGGACAGTTCTGGAAGTATTAAGGTAATTACTTTCTGACGTAAAGCATATTCAAATTGATGCAACCCAGTTTTTGGGAGTGCGCCTGCAGGGGAGGTTGTTGGCATTCTATTTGATCTGCTCGTTTTCCAGTGTGGAAAAGTTAGTTTTGTGTCGTCATGAAAATACATGAGCAGA